TATAAAGGTTGTTAATCATTTTTTAGGAAATTTCATTACCCACCAATTAATGATTTTTTCATAAGTAAATTCACCCCTATTTGTAGTTCAACGAAGCAATTTTTAGGATTAATAAATATACGAGGATTTACATACACTTAAAACTTCTTTTATTATAAATTTCAAACATAAACTACTCTATTTACAAATTCCACATCCAAAACAATATTCTGTTAAGGAGTTTCTTGAATGATCTCCGAAGAGCCCGTCTCCCATTCTTGACGATGTCTGCAAAATTCACTTTCTAGATCCATAGAAATCATTACCAAAATCTGGTGCGAAGGAATGGGAGTCAACAGAAAGGTCACTGGTGACCATGCCAAGGGAACGACTCCAACCGCCGCCCTCAGGCCACATCAGAAACAACACTATGGATCACCAAGAATGTGGGGTGTATTTGGGTCTTACGTTGGAAGCTGCAGGCGGCGCATTTAAGCAATTATTCTTCTTCAGCCATGAACTTTGTACATTTGGCAATTGGCTGCCCATAGTCCACTATTTGTCAGGGATTGCCTTTTACAAGCTATGGAGCGTTGCAAAAAATTTTCCCTTCTGGAAGGAACTATTTTCACTCTTTAATGTCCCATCCTTTGTATTGCTCTAATAACAGTTAAGCTTGCTTGCTTCAAGAACTCCATTTTTATGGCTCTGATTGAATTCATAATCAGAAGGCCGACACTGCCAAGACATATTATCTCCTGCTCCTATTGACCACACTTTCTCTAATTTTTTTACCCTGACCCCTTCCAAACCCTTGTCGATCACCACCACCACCTCGAGATCCAACCTAATTTGGGTTGAGGGGTTGTGTATGTTGTTATTTTTATCTCAAGTGTGTTGGTTGCAATCATCTATTGACTTTATTAGTAATAATATTTGTTTTACCTATTCTAGTTTGGGTTAACTCCAGTACCATTTAGTATCATAAATAGCCTAAACCTAATCCTACCCCAGAGTTTCTAACATCCACCCATATCAATCCCTCCCCGTCAAAGTTTTTTCCCTCCACCCAACACACCCCCATCCACCTATCTACACCTAAAACCCTAACAACGCCCATAGGAGACAATTGTCAGAATTTGAACAAAAATATACCATGAACGACATGCGATCGCTACATAGCCAAGTGTTATATCGGCTCAATGCTATTGAGAAAACAACCCAGGTGTAATAGTGAAATCCATGAAGGAGAATAAGAAGAACACCTGCATTCCTTTCGTAGGAATGATTCCAGTAGAGAAAAAGACAAGCCACAACACTTTGAGATAGAGTGTCAACGGAGACTTAAAGCTGAAGTACTTATTGGAAATTACAAAAATGAGATGCCTGCTAGAAGAACAGAGATGAGATGCATGTTAGAGAATATAAAGATGAGGCGCTTGTTGGAGGATATAAAAATGAGATGTTTGTTAGATGATACAGAGATGGAGTGCCCGCTAGAAGATATTGATATGACGTGCCAACTGAAGGACACATAGATCTATGAATGAAGGTGGACCAAACGGACTTTGAGGAGAGAATGGATCCACATGATTGCCTTGAGTGGATGTAAACAGTTGAGTAAAACTCGACAACATCAAGTTGAAGAAAAATGTCTTTGGGGTGGAAACCCTGAAAAGGGAGAGATGGAGAGAAGAATGAGACAAAATCACTTCTTGGGAGAAAATAAGAAAGCAATGCAACGACAATACTTACCTCTGCACTACCGCAGGGATATTTTCTTGAAGCTCCACTACATACAACAAAATGAGCTATTGGTGGATGAGTAAACAACATAATTTATGCAACTCAAGTTGAAATGAGATCTGATAAAGCCAGAAAAACATACCATAGCCGGGTATTTAAGAAGCCTGAAGCCCTCTATCAATAATGTGATCCGGATGCAAATAGATAGTGAGAGACATGCAGACTTTAGCACTAAAAAAGGAGAAACAACGGAAGCAGGGCAGACAACCATTGTGATTTACACAGTCATTCAAAATTGGAGACTTCAATAACAATACACCATAGGGAGTTAAGAAGACCTGTCAGGCAAAGCCACTCATAGTTAAAAGAAGCCTGAGAAAGGTAGCACGCCCACTAAAGTTTCAAGCATAAAAAGCTTTAGACGTTATAGATTTTGGCACATTGCCTCCAATTGCCAGACGATCAAAGTTGTGTCCATTATCGAATAGGGAGCAGTGCAAGAAGTTTGCGAAGAGGAAGCAACTAAAAAAATAGGAGTATTAGCTTACACCAAATGAGAGTCAAATCCTTGTTGTTCGACGAGTCCTTCAGATTGAGGTGCTGAGTGAACAACAGCGGCTTCGCCATTGTTGCACGGTGAATGAAAAGATATGCAGAATCATCCATGGATGTAAGCAAGAAGAATGTGGTGTCAACACTGTGATAGAGAAGTTGAACATCACGACTCAGAAACATGCCCAGCAAAATTTCTTGACATTGTTGAAGGAGAAGAGGAACAGCATTGGCACGAGATGTCTTGTTGAATTTTCAATTAGGAGTATTAGCTTAGCTTATAACATATGAGAGTCAAATGTTTTTTGTTCAACGAGTCCTTCAGATTGAGGTGCTGAGTGAACAACAGTGGCTTCACCACAATATATTTTACACTTGTTGCATGGTGAACAACATCATCCATGAATGTAGCAGGAAGAATGTGGTCAACACTGTGATAGAGAAGTTGAACATCACGACTCAGAGACATGCCCAGCAAAATTTCTTGACATTGTTGAAAAAGAAGAGGATCAGCATTAGCACGAGATGTCTTGTTGAATTTTCAATTAGGAGACAACCGCATCATAAGGTTTGGTGTTATAAGGTGCTCATGCAAGTCTATCACCTTTTACTAGGGAGACTATGGCAGTATGATCACAAGACTCAGCACGATGAGTACATGAACATCTCATTCACCAAAGATGGCAAGCGCGTAGTCCTTCCACCTTTCGCGGAAACCAAGATTATTGGTTCCCTTGCCAACAAGGAAGTACCGAAAGGATCAGTCGAAGTGATGACAAAGGAAAGCGGACAAAAGAGCCAAGTTCAAACACGAGACTGTAAGTACAGAGAGAGTTGATAGCTTACAACCACAGCAGCCACTGTTAGCAGAAGCTCGGTCTATCGTCACGCTAGATTGGGATGAGTCAACCTGGAACTGCCTTTGGAATACCCTGCAAAGTATAAATGGCAAGAAATTTCAAGTTAGTCTGGTAGTCTATCCTCAGATGATTGAACCGATATGGATGGCTACCTGCACAAGGGGAAAATTGCTCAAGTGCTTTGGGGAATAGTGCAAACATCAGTGGAATCTAAGTTGTAAAATCAACTCAGTCAAAGACCCTACGATACTGGGATTTTACATCAACTTTGTCACCTTCAACGAGCAGACAAATGATTCAACAAATGAGGAAGAAACTCTCACAATCACAGGAGAATGATGCGAGGCATATCCCTCTCATGCGGAATTTTCAGTGACGGGAAGCGAAATACACTTTTTACCTGGACAAAACCCGTTAAAGTACTTTCGATTGGGGGAGTCTGCTTGTCCTTTTGGGTCATTCCTAGTTATCCTATTACTATATATTTACTTTCCTAATGTTTTTGGGTTAGTTTGTTTAGAACAGCCGTGAACATCATTTTTCTCTATTCGAGGTTTGTATCGAATGGTTTGGGAGGTGCTTTGGATGTATCTCTCTTCTGAGATGGTGATTATGTTCACTATCCCCTTCCAAATCCACTCCACATCACTCCCGACCGCCCTCCACTGTTGCAGCCTCCCTCGAACACTCATCATCGCTGTTTTCACTGCAGTTTTTCCATTTCCAGACACCTTTCATCGCTGCAGCAGCCCCATACAACCATCCTCATGCTATCCTGTAATCCTCTGCAACCTCTGTAATCCTCATGCTATCCGGTCCGGGTATAAGGCACTCCACAGAGGCCGAATAGTCGTTCCCGACTGTTCTCGTCTTCCCCTTGGAGCATGCGGCTGTTCCAGCCACCACTAACGTCTCCTCCACAATCGTTTGTACCGCTATCCCCGCCTGTTCCAACCTACCCAGCCAATGCTCCTTCCCTTCCCACACCTTGCATCTTCAGAATCTGCACCGTATTCCCTTCCCACTTGCTTCCATCATCAAGAACAGCCTATCCACATTGTTATCTGCTACAGGCTTGCTGTCCAAAACTCGAGGAACTGCTACCTTGTTGTTTTCTGCTGGTCGACCATCTCGTCCGCCACACCGCCACCTTATAACCCTCCACTGATCACCACCACCACCCCAAAATCCACCCTAATTTGATTTGGATTGTTGAGCCTGTTGTTATTTTCCTTTCACGTGTGTCAATTGTAATCGTCTATTGGCTTTATTAGTAATAATATTTACTATTCCTATTGTGGTTTAGGTTGACTTTGATATCAGAAAGTGAAAAGCAAGCACTAGTAAGGCAAAACGATTGAGCAGGAAGCCAACTAGCATTTGTGTGAGTGGGCAAAGTCCAACCAAAGAGCAGGCCAAGAGCTAAACAAATACAAAATTTCATCGTTATAGACCGACAACAACCCAAACATGATTACAAGAAGGCATAAGTATTAATCTTCTGAGCTACAAATAATAATTATTTTTTCAGTTCGAATCAAATAAAATAATTCAAAATTATAGCCAATCATTTTGATTTTTAAAAATCTATCATCAGTATGGTTTATCCAAAATTTATGGCGCCATAACTTTAAGGAATTTAGTTCTTTTATGTGCTTCCCAAATAACTGAAATCCAATTGGTAGAAAATCATGTGTTTTTCAGAATGGTTAGAAAGCCCCTCAAGCTCTCTACATTATAGATATATATACAAACAGAGAGAAAGAGAGAGGGAGAAAATCAGCCGTTCAATTTCATGCTAATTGCATGCACTACTTTAGAAAAGACAATAAAAAGAGAAGAAAATCCAGCAAATGAACTAACCTCAGAATAAAGAATACACGATGCAACCAGCACTCTTTGTCGCTTGGATTCAGCAATCGGCATGTTAAGAATTGGTGAAAGAACACTGTACGGATTGCAAAAGCCTTAGCTTAAATTTTCAAAAACAACACTGCTAAACATGTAAGTTAATGAATGATGATTCAGCAGGTTGGATGTTGCAATTGTTTTAGAAGCTCTGTATCAGTAATGATATTGCAAAAGTAGGAGGTATTAGAATGTTTATAAAATAAAAATATATCAGGGTCCTAAATAAAAGTATCAGACAGTTAAAAGACATCTCAGATACAAATTTGAGTCTAGTGAAGGATTGATCAAAATCAGTTCTAAAAATGATAAATGTAATTCGAAAGACAAAATGAATCAATTAATTGTATTGAATGTTTTAAGAAAACTTACCAAGCTGTCCATAGAAATCAAGCGAAAAAGGTTCTATGGCAAGTCTATTCAAGATCTTCTTTATAGTGCAAGACAAGTTGGAAATGTGGAAATAGGTTGGTGCGTCGGTTGGGAAGCGTATACAGTGAGAGATATGTTGGGACGTCAGTTTTGATGAGGATGTAGAAAGAGAAGAATATCCGCACCGAGTCAACTTTTATCTGATTTCCCAATCCCAAAACTACCATTTTTCAGGTAGAATTGCAAGGGGTGAAACAGATGCAGATGTTAAGAGTAAAATAATAAAAATATTAAAACTGACGTTACAGACAACTTTTATTCAGCGTTCATTACAAGAACTAGTTCAAAGATTAATAATTTAATATTGCTAAGTTGGGGTAGGCTTGATATGCCTTAGAAGTACAACATTAAGCTTGATGGCACGTGGCTGAAAAAAACTTTTTTTTGGCAGATCAACTCTTTAGAAGGACAAAAGTAGTGTGTAGACTTTTTTGTGAAATGAAATTCACATACAGATATATCATTATCATATGTATGTAAATGCTGTAATGCCCACCTTTTAGAGTTGCCGCTTGATATATTTATAAGTCCAATTTCAGCATTAAAAACTGACAGGCTTATCAAGGAGCATTTAACACTAGAGGATTAGCAGTTGATATTCCTACAAAAGGTATTTCTTTAAAATTGTAGTTTCCGCTGAGCCAATCATTCTAATTCCGCCTGACCTAATTGGATTTGGAGAGAGCATTTAAGATGAAGTGATACTCGAAAAAAATGTCGAAAAAATTTTTTTGATCAAATGTAGCAGGACAAAATCAAATAATACTAAACAAAATATGAACTTCGTAAGCTAGCAGCTGATCTGTTGGATGAATACATGGCTAACAACTCTCGAGAGGAGAGTTCTTTGCATCACGAAAAATTTTATATATTATATGCAGAGGAGAGGAAGCTTCTAGAACCGCCCGCAAGATCAAATCAAAACAATCAAATTCCACCCTCCCAAGGCATGTTCTCTGAATCAATAGCAAACAATCAAATCCTACTCAATCATTAATTTGAGGGCAAAAAGAAAATAAAAGACTGCTGGCTTTTAACCCTCTATAATGGAAGAAATTTAGATGTTGACATCGCTTTTGCAGACGAGAAATCATGAGCATCCAGTTGTATATTCCACAGGATTTACCCCCACCCTAGTTTGTACGTAAGGGTTCTCAACCTAATATTTTCTACTATAATGGATAATTTTACTACATATAATAGCAAGAGGGTTGCCAAAATCACTTAAACTTCTCACTACAAATCAATAAACTATAACTCCAAACCCAAGTAAGGATATTAGAAGAATATAATTAAAGGAATTAACAAGAATCAAACTTGCTCAAAATAGAAAGTCTACAGGGTTAGTCTCTCCAACCAGTCAAAATGCTTCAACAACAAATAGAATTCTAAAGCTCACAAAGCATCAACAACATGGTCCATGTACACCTGACTGAAGAATAGAATGAACATCCATCTTTCATCCACAATTATTATTCCAATGTTTTTTATAGTGGAATTAACCCAAATCACAACAGAAATAGAAATATTATTACTTAAAACAATAGAGTTACAATTAAGACAAAGGAAATAGAAAAAAAAAAAAAAAAACACTACTATCCGGCTAGGGCGAAGAGGGACAGCTGGGGACAGCGATGAGATGGCCTGCAAGAGGTGGTGGTCGGTTGGAAAGTAGCAAGCTGGTTTGCATTTGGAGGCAGGAGAGGGCTTAGGAGGGCTGGGGTAAAGGAAAGTTGTAGGAGGTTTGAGGGTGCCAGGCAGGGCTGAGGTAATATCGAGAGAGGTTGGGGTGTTATGGTGGCTGCAGGAAGGTTGGGAGGAGATAAACGGCAAGCTGAGAGGATTGGAGGTGGGGGTGATAGCCGCAAATGGGGTGGGGAGTGGATTACGGCAACAGCAGGTTTGCTAGTTGGAAATTGGCAGCAGTAGATTTGGATGAGGTGGTTACGGGAATCCGCAGGCAGGTTGGTAGGGGGCTGGCAGTAGTGGACAGAATAGTGGGAGGGAAGTTATGGCAGCCTGCGGAAAGGTGTGTTGGATACCGGAGTTAACCCAAATCAAAATAGAAATAGAAATATTATTACCAAAACAACATGATTATAATCAAGACTCAAAATAGAAATAGAAAACACAACAAAACACTACTATCCGGCTAGGGTGAAAAGAGACAGCTGAGGCCAGCGGTGAGATGAGATACAAAAGGTGGTGGTCGGTTGGAAGCAAGCAAGCTGATTTGCAGTTGGAGGCGGGAGAGGGTAACAGGAGAGCTTGGGTTATATCAAGAGAGGTTGGGGTGTAATGGTGGCGGTAGGAAGGTTGGGAGGAGATAAATGGCAGGCTAGGAGTGGAAGTGAGGGGTGATAGCCGCATATGGGGTGGGGAGTGGATTACGGCAACAGTAGGTTCGCTGGTTGGAAACTGGTGGCAGTAGATTGGGAGGATGTGGTTACGGCAGTTTTCCGACAAGTTGCTTGGGGGCTGGCGGTAGCATACAGTAGAGTGGGAGAGAAGTTACAGCAGCCTATAGGAAGGTGTGCTAGACAGAGGCGGCAGAAAAATCTAGACAGGTAGGGGCGTTGAAGGTGGTGGCAACAGGCATGGGAGCGGAATCGGGAAAGATAAGTATTCTTGCAAGATCGAGTTACACCTGGAGCATCTCCTCTCGAACCTTGGGAGAATATTATCACCTCAGATGAGTTACAGCCCAGACGAAGCACCTCCTCACCATCGGATACAGTCCTATAAGCAAAACTGTCTCCAGGCAAAAATGTAAAATAACATACAACATAACATAACCCTAAACACAGCAAATAGACACATAAATAGATATAGATAGACAAATGAAAGAAAGAATGGGAAAAGAGGGACGATAATTTCCGCCCCATACAGTGGCCGTCGTGTTGGGCTGAGAACTTGTCCTGGCCGGTTAAGCTGGCCATCAAGTCCAGCGTCAGCCTTCCATGGTTGGGGAAACTTCGACTACATTTGTTGAAGCATATAGTTGCATGTTGACGATGATGGTGTTGTTATAATCACCTGGGGCTAAAAGATCTTCTAGTGTGATCCGAGAAGCACAGAGATCCCATTAAAGACCGCACTGTCCCCTAAAACACCTGAAGAGTTTTCTCCACTTGCGAGCATACCTCCATTTTAATTTGTTCTCCTGTGTGCCTTGCCCTTGCTATTGAATAATGTTAACATAATCCACGGTTGGTTTAACTAGATCTGAAGCGGGGGTAACCTGAACCTCCCCTAACAGTGGTGTTGTTGGTGGTAAGGTACCGACCGTGATATCCTAAAATGCCCTTGGTCGTGTATGTCCCATGTCTAGAGCTGGTGTTTCGGTTTCATCATCCTCCGTCGTCACTAAAACTGGTCCCCACCGACATTATGCTGCTGACAAGGGCACATGTGATCTCATGCTCTACCGAAGGGAGGATGAATATGTGCTCCCATCTTTGGTGAAGGAATAGGTGTTTCTGAATCCATCGTACTGAGTCCTACAGTCAATAGTCATGGTCTCCACAACAAAAGGTAGCGGGTATCTATGGGGACCACGTCACACCACATCTAATCCTGCAGCAGCCACCCAATCAAAAACTCCATAAGGAACCCTCAATTAGTATTGACACTATTTTTCTTCTTCAGCCACGTCAGAGAATATGGTTGAGAGTGGTCATGAGGCTCAACTTCTCCACAATCTATGTAGATGTCACATTCTTGTTGCTCCATTTATCGATAATTACAGCATGTTACACTTGTCTTGCTTCTACTTGCTACAGCATGTTACACTTGTCTTGCTTCTACTTGCTACAGCATGTTACACTTGTCTTGCTTCTACTTGCTACAGCATGTTACACTTGTCTTGCTTCTACTTGCTACAGCATGTTACACTTGTCTTGCTTCTACTTGCTACAGCATGTTACACTTGTCTTGCTTCTACTTGCTACAGCATGTTACACTTGTCTTGCTTCTACTTGCTACAGCATGTTACACTTGTCTTGCTTCTACTTGCTACAGCATGTTACACTTGTCTTGCTTCTACTTGCTACAGCATGTTACACTTGTCTTGCTTCTACTTGCTACAGCATGTTACACTTGTCTTGCTTCTACTTGCTACAGCATGTTACACTTGTCTTGCTTCTACTTGCTACAGCATGTTACACTTGTCTTGCTTCTACTTGCTACAGCATGTTACACTTGTCTTGCTTCTACTTGCTACAGCATGTTACACTTGTCTTGCTTCTACTTGCTACAGCATGTTACACTTGTCTTGCTTCTACTTGCTACAGCATGTTACACTTGTCTTGCTTCTACTTGCTACAGCATGTTACACTTGTCTTGCTTCTACTTGCTACAGCATGTTACACTTGTCTTGCTTCTACTTGCTACAGCATGTTACACTTGTCTTGCTTCTACTTGCTACAGCATGTTACACTTGTCTTGCTTCTACTTGCTACAGCATGTTACACTTGTCTTGCTTCTACTTGCTACAGCATGTTACACTTGTCTTGCTTCTACTTGCTACAGCATGTTACACTTGTCTTGCTTCTACTTGCTACAGCATGTTACACTTGTCTTGCTTCTACTTGCTACAGCATGTTACAC